TGTGTGTGTGTGTGTGTGTGTGTGAGTGAGTGTGTGTATTTTCATTTCTATTATTTTTTCTAGCCTTTAGAAAAAAAATAATTCTGTTTTAATTGAGTGGGACTAAAATGTTGATTACTCCGACCTTTTACACATGAAATGAAAACATTTGAATGAGGAGCGGAGCAGCTTGTGCTGGGGGCTTGTGCATTTCTCTGTTCTGTAACTGATGTTCACCCTAATGGGAAACTTGGGCGTGTAAGCTTACCATCCTACCAAAGCTGTATATATATGTGTGTGTGTGTTCAGGGAAGTGCCTTAGTGAATCTCGACAATGCTCACAATGAGTTCTGGCAATACTTTCTGTAAAGATAGTCCTCAAGGTGCCTCATGCTTTATCTCACTTAAGGTTAAAAGTATCTTTAAAGATGCCACAGTACATCTACCATAGCTTATCCATAGGGCCATAGAAACAAGCATGAGCCATAGTAAAAACCACACAGCCGGTCAGAACTGCAGCAGCTGTCACAGAGGCTGTAGACTGTCAGAGCTCAGCCTTTAGAAAGAAATAATGAGCAATAAATGTCAGATAATTCCTCCTTATCTAAAGACTGTTACCTTAAACTGGCAGTGCTGTACAACTTGGTCAAGAACTCAAAGACCTATGCAACAGCTGTTTGTTGAAGGATGAAGAAAAAGGCACAACAAATAAAGGCACTGTGGCATTGCATGAATACAGTTCATCCAGATCATTCCAGGATCATCACCCAAGGACATTGTGTTGGACGTTCATGATGCTACTTAAATGTTATTTCTCACATCCTCTAGTAAGTATTAGTACTTTTAGTCCACTACTATTTAGTACATGTTTACAGGGACTTAATTGCTGTGGTCACTTATGTTTTAGGCTGATAAGACTGTAAGATACAATGTATTGCTAAAAAATAAAGTGTTGCTTGAACTTTTTGGCCTGTGACCCTTTAAATAAATATCACAGGCCTTCGTCACATTTCAGATGTCTATGATATGTGCCTGTTTATACGCCTGTTCATACAAAGGGCATTAACATGCCTCTCAGGTGATCTGATCACAAGTGGACAGGTCTAAATCAGACCAGGCATTAGAATGTGTCCCCACATGTCTCAAATGAATCACTGATTGTGATCAAATCTCATTTCCACACTCTGTGTGCAAATAAACACAGACATCATCTGCGCTTACAAAGACCACACACAATGTTGTGTTTTACATTGTGTGAGGCAGCAATGCACTTCTTGTGTCTGTAGTCTACAGGAAAAGAAAAGAAAAAGAACATTTTAATACACAACAGACTTGGTCTATTCCTTGGTGTGCTCCAGGCATATGATATCATCCACGACGTTTGACGCATTTTTTATAGATGTGGATGAGCTTTTCAGAATTGTGTCATAGACAAAGCCATCTTAACCAATTTGAGAACCTTGAGTGAGTAAGAATGAATATGTACTTTTGAGTGAGTCGAGAAGAGACAGTCGTCATTATGGCCCAGGATGCATTTCTCTTAGCACTAGTGATAGTTGGAATATGATCAGTGCAATCAGATCTCAAATGTGTCCTTCAATACATCTTGGGTGTATTCACACCGGTACTTAGAGTTGTCCTCTTATGATCGGCTCACCCATGATGCACTTTGAAGCCAGATATTAAGAGGGCCTTTGACTTGCATATAATGAAAATCCAAAGATTAGACAAAAGTCCAGTGGAAAAAAGACATTAATATAATAATTCAATTTCCATCTCAATAAACTATAACAAGACATTTGATTATAAACCTTTACTTGTGTATTCTTACATTAGCACATTGGTACTTATACTGAGACTCTTTTCTTCATCTATCACTGCTTTTA